AGGGGAAGGGTGAGGGAAATGAGAGGAAGGGGGCGTCTCATTCATCTTTCGGAGATTTCTAAATTCTGTCTCTCTTTTTTTTTTTTTTTTTTAAGATTGCAGAATCACTGAGTCACGGCGTAAAACACAGAGGGGCCCCTGGTTTCAACTTTAACATGCAAGTAAAAGTTTGCATGTCGGGACGGTGCAGGCGTCAAAGATTACGGAGAGGATCACAGATCTGAGTTTACTGTCGATTCATAGTTTCTGTCCTCCTACATTTAAAGGTACAGAGGGTCCCCTCGGTGTAAATATAAAGTATTTGAATATAAACTGTCTTTTCTGGGGTAAAGAAAACTACAACTCATACAATTTAGACGAGATGAACCAGTGAATACATTTCACCTTTCACCTGAATCTGACACGTTGGACCTTTAACTGCACTTTTACTCCACTTCAGCACTTCGTCTCTGGAAGCTGCAGTAAACGTCCGTCGTCCTGAGACACTCTGCTAAATTTGTCCCAGTGGGCAGTGACCTCAGTGACCCGTCGCTGCTGAAGCTCCTCGCCCCTGCAGATGAAACGTGCTCGCCCTCTGTGGAAGGTCAGACGAAGAGTGTGTGTGTGTGTGTGTGTGTGTTAGAGAGAGACGTTGGGACCTCGGTGCATCAGTCGTCCTGGAGTAATGATGTACGAGGTGTCAGTGGGGTCCTGGTCGTTCTGTTGGGGGAGTCACCCTCACAGGTCAAGGTCAACTCCGCGGTCACATGGTTTTACTGACACAAACAGGAAGTCGTTAAGGCCGAACGCTCACATCGGCCGAGCTAACGCTGACGACGCTGCGATGTTTATTCGGTCGGTACCGTGTTCGTCGTGTTTTCTGCTGCAGTAGTTCAGAACGTTACCCGATGGTGGCGCTGGATGAAAAGACGGCTCAACTCATCTCGAGGGGGCGTGCATGAGGAGGACACTGTATTATTGCTGCGTTGTATAAGTGTGTGTTTACTGTGCACAACATTAAGTGTGTGTGTGTGTGTGTGTGTGTGCAAACCTCCTGGTTCTCTGCAGAGACACAAGCTGCCATCAACATGCACATATCAACAAGAGACCCCCCCCCCCGGTTTGTGCTTATGTAGAATTGTACGTGTGTGTGTGTGTGTGTGTGTGTGTGTGTGTGTGACTGCCAATGAGCCGGTGTGTATGAGACACTGTTATGTGCATATGAATGGCGGGGGGTCTCCTCTTCCTGAATGCAGAGCGCATCTCATTGCTATTCATGTGAATGAGTCTCCCGGAATCAAACCACAGTCAAAAGCATATTTGCACAGAGTTAAAATGCTGGAACAGAAATCCAGCAGAGTTTCCCCTGAAATGAAATCTGCCTCGCTCCATCAACTCGCCTGGTGTTTGCGGTGAAGCTGCACAGAGACGTTCCCTCCGTCGTCAGTCAGGCTGCTTCATCTTCATCTTCATCTTCGACATTTTTTACTTTCTCTTTCACCGTTTGACCTCAAGCTGCAGAATTTACAGTTCAGTTGATTCAATCTTTTCTTATCTTTAGAGTCAAACCTTCAGCAAACGAAGCGTTCGTCTTAGCGACTTCACATTTGGCGCGTGAACAGTTAGTGGTCATGGCTATTTGTCTTAAAAGTAAAAGCACAACGTTGTGCAGATAAACCAGGCAGGATGAACAGTACGTTTTCTAAACCTCCAGGATGCAAACAATGAAAAGTGAGTGAAAAGTGATTCTAATGACGAGGAATAATTCGCACAGTGACGGACTCCTTATATAATGACTGACAGCCGGTGACGCCTCAAATGACCGTGTGAAGCTCCTTATCACTCGACTCCCTCCCTCAGCCCTTTCCTTCCTCTCCTCCTCCTCCTCCTCCTCCTCTCTCGTCACGTTCACTCCAGGATCATGGGAGACAGTTTGATTTGAGTTCACTGAAGGACTGGATGTCTGTGATCACACCTGTCGTCTCAGAAGAGGATTTGTTTTTCGGTGAAACTCAGCAGCTCTGAGCCGGAGAGCGACTTAAAGAAAAACCACATTCGTCTATAAGAACAATATCTGCTTCGTTCTCTCAGCTCTCTGTCGGTGTGACTGAATCTGAATCCACAAAAATAACAAGACATGCAACATAAGCAACACGCAACCGTCAGAGTCCAACGGTTTTTAAAAGCAGTAAAAACGATGCTCCTGAAGAACATTTGTGTTTTTAAAGAAGAATCTTCAAATCCTGTAAAAAGCAGAAGGTATTTCAATCAACGGTTGTTTTAGTTTTTCTTCACAAGAAGGAAGAAATGAAACAAACGTCTCTTTCCTCCGAGAGTCGGTGGATTCAATCTCAGTCCATCACTTTCTCTCTCTCTCTCTCTCTCTCTCTCTCTCTCTCTGGACTCAACCAGCGAGCTGCACGTGGATGTGTGTTGCACGCTGCCACCGTGTGGTTACATCACATAGGAAACACACGGGTGAGGCCGAACTGGCTGAATGAATTATTTGCAAACAAAACATTGATTAAAAACTATTTCTAATGAAATCACACTTGTTAACCTACTTTAACTAACGTGGTAGAAATGAATCTTTTTACCGGCAGGTTTCTGGTGAGAAGTTTACTCCAGACCTGGATTTGTTTGCCGCCATCTTTTGTCTGTTTCCTTTGCCACAAACTCGAGGTGATCTTATCCAAAAATATATTTCTATTCAAGCCTTTAATATCAAAACTCTCAAAAAGAATCGTATTAATTCAGAATAGTCAAACTAGCATTTAGAAAGTTATGGAAGAAGTACAGTTCAGTTTTCTTGGCGCTGGTTTCCAGCCGCCATTAGAGTTCAGGGACGTCGTGATTCATCATTCAGTCACGGGGGTCGACACTCGATGACAAACGTCTGTGGATGAAATCTGCTCGCTCTTGTGTTTGGCACATGTGGAGGGAGCGCAGCTGTTTGCCATGAATTGAGAAGAAGGGGCTTCATCAACAGTCATTCCTCCGCCCGGCGGGAACGACCCTGTGATGAGCGGTTAGCGGTTTGACTGACACCTCACCCTGATGGGAACTTTCGCCCAATCGCTCTCCTCTGCAGCTGCACGGACTCTTTGGTCCCAATCAACCGGTAAAAAAAAGACAAAACACCTTCCCTGCATAGAAATCTGATTCAAACGTGGAGACATGACGCAGCAGAGTTCGAACAGACGTAGTTTTAATGGATCTAAAGTGAAAATCAGCAGAGCATCTCTTCGACAGATTCGTGGTTGGAGGCCGAACTGAAAACGTGGATTTATATAACGTGTGTGAATCTAATCTCTGTCCCCCGGTCGATCCGCACAGAGCAGGTCATCGTTTAATTTTCCCAGAAGTTGCTGCGATGATCCTCTTCGACACATTTCTGAGATGATTTTAATACGCGGCTCTCACACAGTGTGTGTTCAGCAGATTGAGATGATGCCCGGCGGATTAACGGTCCCGCGGCTGCAGTGGATTATTGCTGCTGTGTGTTTGTGTGTGATGAATATAAAAAAACTGTTTATTCATTTTGAGCCCATGTTACGCAACAGGTCCCGACACTAAAATGAATTGTGTTTCCTTTTGGAATCAGACAGAAACGAACTAACAACAATCTGGGACTGTAGCCGGTGAATATAAAGTCAGTAAATATATACATATATATATAAATATACAGTATATATATACATCTTCCCTGACTTGAAGGAGTTAGGGTTCCTACACGGTGGAAATCTAGTCTAGTTACCATTGCACTTATATAACCCAGGCAGCACGTGACATTAATCTATAGCCTCAAATTGGAGACACAACAAGAAAATGCCTGAAGCTAAACGGTTTTAAATTGTCGCTGTATTTCACGTGAGATTATTCCAACACCGGGACGTGCAGCAAATGTTTGATAGTGATTCCGTGTAAAAGGGAACAAGACAAACTTAATGAATCACCTGGCAGCTGCTCCGTATTTCAATCCTGGACCAACCGAGATCGTCCCGACAGCCCAGGCGACATTTCATGCATCATTAAGGTTTCGCTCTCATGACAACAAAGTAATGATGAATTCAAACCAGAGTTTTGGCTCCTTCCATAAGAATCATTAGACTCATCAGCTTTAGATAAAATGGAGGTCGCAGACATATTTAATGAGGAATGCATTTTTATATTTAAATGCATTTTCTTCTAATTTCACACTCACGCAAATGTGGCAGTTTCGATTCTGTCTTGTATTTTAAATGTTTATTTATTCTCTGTAACATGTTTTGGCCCCTCAGGGATAAGAAAGACAATCCATCCATCACTTGTCTGATCAACACTCGTTTAATTTAAGTAAACACTTAACTCAGCAGCTGATCAGCAGAGAAAACACGAAGACAAACCTACAGGCAGCATCGGAGGAGGAGCCGACAAAGTTCTGCATTTTCTACAAAAACACATTTCACAGCAGATTTATCCATCAACCCGTGAAGAGTCGAATAAAAGTGAACTGTCCTGAGGCAGACGTGTGTGTGTGTGTGTGTGTGTGTGTGTGAGGCACACTGACCCATATACTTGAGTGTTTCAACCATTTATCCTTTGAGACTCTTTCTGGCACCAAGTGCAGCTCACAATGAAAATCACCACGTAATCGTCCTAAAATTATTTTTGGCAGGTAACTGTGAACATCATAGAATCTGCTCCACGTCAGAGGAGGAGAATAAAAAAAAAACACACAAAGTGAAACAAGCTGGTCACAAAGTCACTGAGGGCTGCAGCAGCAGCAGCAGCAGCAGCAGCAGCAGCAGCAGCAGCAGCAGAGGTGAAGCACGAGCTCCTGTTTTAAGGAATATTACAGGTTTTCTCTTTATGAATCTGCAGCCAGACAAACATCTAGAGGTGTCAATCACAGAGGGAGCTGCCTCAGCCTCCCGTTGCCATGGAGAATCTATGATGTGAACATGCAACCTTGTGATGGATGAATATCGGTGAGGGATTGTAGATCATGAGGGAACTGGTCCCAGAACAAAGCTTCTCACCTCGAACAATGGCGCAGCGCTCTTGTCTGGAAGTGTGCATCCCAGTAGCTCGGCCAGGAACTTTGCCATGGGGATGAGAGAGGCGTGCTCCTGAAGTATTCCTGAAATCTTCGGCGTGAGCAGAGTCAACAGGTGAACTTCTCTGAGGCGTTCAAGGACCCTGCGCACATTCCCCCTTCTTCTTTTCTTCCACTTCTCCTGCAGCTGCTCCAATAAACCCTGCAGACAGGAGGAGGAGGAGGAGGAGGAGGAGGAGGAGGTGTGCAGCTGGATAAGGGATGAAGGTGTGAGTCCAGCGCAGTGAAGCTTTATGAAGCGTGCAGTGTTCAAATCCTCTGAGCAGAGAGGAGCAGGAGGAGGAGGAGGAGGAGGAGGAGGAGGAGGAGGAGGTGGCGTGTGGAGAGACAGGCAGCAGGTGGGGCCAATGGGTGGGGCCGAGCAGAGAGGGTGTGGGCGGGACCGGACCACTGATGTCAGGTGGTTCCTCCTCCTCCTCCTCCTGATTCATAAAGACAATAAAGAATAAAACATGACACATGAAACAAATCCCACACGTGTGAATACAGACATGCAGCCACAGAACACACGAACCAGGATTTACTACAAATCATTAGTTTCATCAGGACGTCTGACAGTGATGCATGTGTTTGTGTTTTTAAATGTGTAATTTATTCAACAAAATCTCATAATTCATCTGCAGCTCTGTTGTTGTTGTTGTTGTTGTTGTTATTGTTGTTGTTGTTGTTGTTGTTGTTGTCCCGGTGGTTCAGATGCTTCGTCAGCTCTGAGATGATTTTAGTTTGGGTTCATTAAAAAAATCAAACGAAACAAAAGGACTCAGTGATTCATGCAACAATTCATCTCAAAGCTCGTGAATCAGCTGTAAATGTAAATGTTCACATCGTTCATCAACACGAGGTCGGGGGGGGGGGTGTGAAGTGAAAATGTCCGGAGCAAATGATAAACAGCAAATTAAAGCGACGGGGGAAGATATAGATATAACATATTACAATTAGAATTTCAAAATAAGATGTGCAGCATTTAGGAAAATAAGACAGACAAGGGATAAATATATTTGACTCATTAAAGAACATTAGACTGTTTGTGTTGCTGTGCTCATTTATCTGCTCTTGTCCTGAAGGCATCATTTGTCTTAAACCACAGTTTCCACATTGTAATCTATTACTTCATATGTGTACCGAGGACACTGAGTCCAACGGACAGTAAGACAGATTATCAGACAGGAGACCGGTTCCTTCTCCTAATTTAATCCATGAATCATATAAATCTGCTGGAGACGGAAAAACGTTTCACTCAGGGATTCAACGGGATCTGAACTCAAACTAAACGTTTAAAAGATCTTTTCACTTCATCAACTGAGGGAAAAAACACAGAAAACCATCAGAGTGGCTCAGAAAAAGATTATCAGGTCACGACCCTCTGGAAAAATAAAATAAAACTACAACACAGAAATATTAAGCGTGTTAATCCACAGAGGTAGAACTCAGAGAGCGTGCATCCCTCCTCTTCATCATCATCGTCCTGAATGTTGTTCTGATCCTTTTTGTGGGTTTTAGTTTTATCTTCATCGCAGCCTCGTAATGACTCGAGGAAACAGAGTGAGAGATTATAAAAGTTAGGAGAGATGAGTCTGGTTGTATTTTCAACGGCAGCACCTTCCATGTTCCTCTCCCTTCACTTCCTGTGCTGCGACGGTCACAGGTCGCGATGTGACGACCATCATACGTAGAATTCATTTTATATTTCCAGCGTCGGCAGCGCTTTGATGTGTGAAAAGTATGTAGAGTGTGAGAAGTGGATTGAGGGAGCGGGAACAGTCTGTGTGATGTCACCACTTTCATCAGGACGCCCAACACACATCCAGTGAAATCTCTAAGAAAGAAAAAAGTTTGGAGGAAGTTTCCAGCTCCAAGTTCAGAGCGGAGGAGTTTGAGAAGTTGCAATTACGACTTGAAATATACGGAAAAGAGTAAAATATTCAAAACTCACAAAAAAGTTAAAGGGAATGTAAATTTTAAAGTTTGACTTTACATTCTGAGTAAAATCAGAAGTGCTGCACTGCTCGGTATGTTGAAGATCAAAGTTTTTTTTTTTCAACCCATTTAAAGAAGTCGTCAAGCTGCGTTTCCGCCTAAGGTAAATTTCCCCAGGAACCAGGAAGTCGAAACAAAATTAGGATCCCCCCCCCCCCCCCTGTTCAGGGGGCGTACCTTTAGGGTGGGGCTTACAGCACTGAAGATGCCTGATTGGTCGAATATTCCGACATTTAAATTCAGCTTGTAAAAGTTGAACATTTCAGGTATTTTGAAAATGGTTTGTGCTCCAATCAACATCTGCACAATTTGAATCTCCTCCATGTTAACGGTTGTGTTTTTCATAAACAGAATCTGGAGGCAAGGGACAAGATTGTGGAGCCGATCACCTTTGCGGAGGCTGTGGCGGCCCGCAGCTGAACAGACTGTGCGGAGACTAGAAGACCATCAACACTGACTCAGCGTTAAGTCCGGTGATGAAAACACGGCCGGGCAGAGGACCACGGTGGTCCCTGGGGAAAGTCACACATCGTCCTGAGAATCTGTGGAGGATCTCCGGAGTTCAGTGCACGTCTGAGAGCAGCTTCATTTAACTTAGTGGAGCTCAAACCTGCAGCTTCTTCACTTCAATCCATCAGAGCTTCCTGTGGGTTCTGGCATGTTTACATTAGTGTGACACAAATGACTTTGATGTGACTTCCTGCTGTTCCACCTGCTGCCTCGACTAAACACTGCACACACACACACACACACACACACACACACACACACACACACACACACACACACACACAATCATAATTAGCCAATTTTCAGATGAATGAACCACATTTATCGTCAAACTTCCAACACGTAACAGACAAACTGACAGTGAGCACCTCCCATGCAACAAATTGTCAACAAAAAAAACCCAGAAAACCTAATTAATGAAGCAATCAGCGCGCCCCAGCCGAGCCTCTCATCGACCCCCCGCTGCTGTATGTGATTTTAATAATGCTGTTTAATGACGAGCTCCGTGTTGGCTGGCGAACGCAGCTCCATATGTTGTTACAGCTGTGGGGAGCGGCATCTACATGGTTCTACGCAGCTTCAGAGCGAGGCCCCCTGCTGGGAAATAAAGCTTAACATGTTTGTGTGTGTGTGTGAACTCGCTGGCTGCCTGGACATTTGATTTATCCCTCCAGAGGATTCAGTTTTACTCCTCCACTCCATCATGAATGTTCACGTGTTGATTTAAAAATAAAGTAAAAGCTTCAGACGTGTTAAGTTCACTTCAGAGATCATGTTTCTCCTCCGCACATCATTTCAGGAGTCTGGAAGTCTTTCTCCATTCAACTGGAAGGGTTTTCAATTTTGTGTTTTGCGAATAAAGAGAATAAAGCGTGGATTTGAATCTTGAATCTAGCTTCTTCAATCCTGAAACCTGCTGAACCAAAAACATGTACGAGATGTGTTGCAATGTACACGTGTGTTAATTATATGTGTTGATATTGCTGCGTCCTCACTACGCAAATCAGGGTTTTGGTCTGCGTGCAGCACATTTCACCACAGTGTCAATGTCTCTGTCAAATACGTCCGATGTGCAGAACTGGAAGATTCTTCACACTGAAGAGTTCTGGCACAGCTGAGTGCACAGACCTGCTTCAATCTGAGGAGAACCTCAAGTAGCAGCTGAGGCCACTAGATCCAACATGGATCACCGGCTACACTCCGGTTACTGCAGCTACGAGCTTCTTCTTTTTCTCTTTAACTCGGTTTTGACGACGTGTTCGGGGACGGGACGCGGTCGACCCAAGACCATCGTCCAGCAGCACTTTACAAACGACAAAGATTAAGTTCAGATCACACAGTGTTTGTTCAGCGGTGACGTCGTGACTATTTACTGAAACAGTGTGAGTTTGATCTAAAGACTAAAATCACGCGCTGTTCTACCCGTGGAGATTTACTCGAACATATTTCCTAATTGACGATTTCTCGTTTTATTTCACAACACAGCTGATGTTTAAACTGGTTCTGATGAAAACACAGGACCCATAAACACAGAGACACACACGTGCTCACACCCTGACACAGTGACACCCCCCCCCCCTTCGCTGCAGTAGCTGCCTAATGTTGCATCAAAGACCCAGACGTTCAGGAAAGTCAGTGATGGAGATTTTTTTCTTCCATTTCATCACTTTCTCTGTGTCTCTGATGGATATTCACAGCGTTGGAGCCACGGCGCCGCTCCATCATCAACCCCATCAACTCCACAGCTCATGAGAGAGAGGAGGAGAGACACGGAGAGCGGGAAATAAAAGAGAGGACAGAGGAGAGAGAGATTCTCTGCACTGCAGCACAACAGAGGGTTTGATTTATCCGCCGCTCGGCTGCAGGGACATCACGTTTCACCATTTAGCAAATGAGCCCTAATTCACCCCGATGGCAGAGAACACACTTCCTCTCGTCTTTCAGTTCTTGACTCGCAGCCTGAGGCCGAGAGCCAGAGCCGCTCAGGAAGCACAACTGTGGTTCAGTTCCCCCGAGCCCCCCCCCCCCCCCCCCCCCCCCCATGCATATCAACACAATCAGCCAGTGAACCCAGAACAACACGTTTACCTTTTATTTGTGGTGTTTCCCTCAGTCTGAAGCAGGAAATGCTGATTTGATGTATTTTAGTTCGTATCTGTTTCACTTTCACAGCAAAATGAGCAGGTTCAGGCAATTTTTTTAAATAACAATAAACCTGCTAAATAAAGGTGATCGACCAGTTTCCCATTTGAGTTCGCATCAATGTGTTTTGTCACGTTCGACGTCACAAACGCTTCGAACAAGAAACAGAATCATTTTCATCGTCAGACGTTTTCCTGACATCCACATTTTGACGAGGAAGAACTGATGGAGGGTCGATGAGTCAAATAACTGTTAAACTATTAAAAGTTTATAAGAAGCCCAGATTTCACAAACCACATCCAGAGCTCCATGAATTTGAATTCAACATAAGAACTGAACCGAAGTGCTGATGTTTTTCCTCGG